GGGCCAGCTGAACATGATGTTAATATTAAAAATACTTTTGTTAGAGATGTCTTGGTATATTATTTGAGGTCCCTGCCAGAAATTACAGTGGTAGGTGGTGACGAACTGTGTAGTGCGCCGTAAAGATGTTGAACCGAGGGGGGCGGGGTTCTGTTCGCTTGTTTTGGGTGACTTGTTGTCTGGTTTGGGGTTGGTTGATGTACGAGGAGGACGTGACTTTGGGATTGAGCATACTTTTGTGCGTAGGGGCTATGCAGCATGTTTAGATAGGGTGTATGTGTCTCGGCGGGTGGTCGTAATCAATGTGCGTGTATTGAATGTCTTTTTCTCCGACCACCGGGGAGGTCTCCCGCATCGTTTTAAGGGATACTGGAAACTGAATACGCGGATGCTACAAAGTGCGGGTGATAGGGAAATATTCGAGGACTTCTGGGCGTCTATGGGAGTAAACTCCTGGGAGGGATGGGATTTAGTACGACGGTGGGATGAGGTTGTGAAGCCTCGAATTAAGGATTTTTATGTGAATCGGTGTAAGGAGGCCACTCGCTTGGAGTATGGTTTTCAGAGGTACCTGGAGGGTCATCTACGACAATGTTATGCACAGGGAGAGGCATCTGGGGTTTACCCAGTGGATGAGATCGATGCTATTAAAGAACAAATCCAAGTATTGAAAAATAAGGTTTTCGATGGGGCGCGCATTTCGAGTGGGGTGGAGGAGGCTTTGTGGGGTGACAAGCCGTCTGCTTGTGTCTTACAAAGTCAGACACAAAGGCGAAAAAGCGACTGAAATTGTGAGTTTAGTGGTGCAGGATGAAGTTGACGGGTATAGTGAGGGACAGGTCTACTAACAACTGAGGGGATAAGATTTTATGTCGATACTTGGAGTAAGATCCAGATGCAAAGTAAACGTGAGTGAGCATGCGATACAGGATTTGGGGAGAGGCGTACGATGCGAGTTAAATGATTATGATCGCCTTCTCATGGGTGGGCCTATATCTGAGGCAGAGGTGTGGGAGGCACTACAAGGAATGAGTAAGGGTAAGGCTCCAGGCATTGATGGCATCCCTTGTGAATTTTATATCAAACATTGGGAGGTAATACGGACTTTTATGGTCCGTTTACTCAATGCAATGAAGGAGGGGGGGGGATGTTAGGTCTGTCTCAGCGTACAGCAGTGTTGGTCTTAGTTAGGAAATGTGATGTGCCGTTAGCGATTAAGGACTACCGTCCCATATCGTTGATGTGTAGTGACTATAAACTATATGCGAAAATATTGATGAATAGAATTAAGAAAGTGTTTGATAAAGTAATCCATAAGAGTCAGTTTGGTGTGCCAGGTAGGTCAATGTATGATGTCATGGGAATATCAGGAGTTTGTTGAGGAATGCGGGGTGAGGGGTGGGGGTGGTGTTTATGGCTTTAGACTGGCGAGCCGCTTTTGATAGTGTGGAAAGAGAGGTTCTGTGGAAATTTATGAGATGGCAGGGTTTAGAAATGAGGTCATCATGTGGGCCCGTTCGTTGTACAATGGAGCGGGTTTTAAAGTACAAAATTAATGGCAAGTTAGGTGTTTTTTGTACACATGAGCAGGGCATTCGTCAGGGATGCCCCATGTCTCAAATGTTTTTTGCATGTATGCAGGACCCATTTTACTGGGCTGTTTGTGGGCGGGGAATAGAGACATCGTGGGGTCCGAGTAGTGGTCGACCGACCCTTGTGGGTTATGTTGATGATACTACTGTGTTATTACGTTCACGGGAGCAATTGGGTTTTGTTGGGAGACTTGTTGACATATTTGGCAAGGCTACTGGGATGTGTGTTAATAGAGAAAAATCGAAAATTATGGAGTTGGGGAGTGGGTGGGGTGATGGGGTGGATGCAGAGGGGTGGACTGTGGTTGATCGTATCACTATATGTGGTATTCATTATATGCGGGAGGTCGATCAGATGAGGGCGTACAATTCGGGGAGGGTTGTACATAGTGTCTTGGGGCGCTTAAATAGTCTACGGCCGCGACATTTAACCCTGCATCAGAGGGCGGTGGTCATTAATGTCCTGCTTTATAGCAAAGTATGGTACGTTGCTGCACTGTATCCTCTGTTGCAGGGGGACGTCAAACGTCTTTTGCATAGAGTTTCTCGATTTTTGTGGGGTTCAGGATGCGATTGGCTCACAAGAGGGGTGGTGGAGACACCACTGCATCAGGGAGGGTTGGGTCTCATTCCTCTAGAGGCTCGTATCATGGCATGTTACGTGAAGCGTCGTTTTCTCCGACTGGGTGGGATGCATGGCGGGTTAAGCGAATTGTATCACGACCTGCGCAGGTGGTGGAGAGGGAGGAATTTAATTTGGTGCGACGCGATGCTTCGCGTATTATGAACATGAGGGGACGTGCGCTGTGTAAAATTATGTACCTTAGAAAGGGCGGGTAGGGAGGTAGTCGTGGTGCGAGTTGAAGGAATGTATCCCATGTATGCGTGGGGTGATATATGGAGGCGAGTTCAACAGTTGCGTCTGCCTACTCAAGTATCGGGAAGTGGTTTTTTAAATTTTTACATGGAATCTTGCCGTCTGGGGTGGTGTTGTATAATAGGCGTTTGGAGGAAGACTGGGGTTGTCCGGTGTGCGGGATGGAGGAATCTGCTTTCATGTTGTGTATTTCTGTGAGACTTTAGGTATGGTACGAGAGTGGTTCAGTAGGGTTTTGCGTTTGGTAGGGGGGGGGGGGAGGTTGTCGGTACTCCTCGGGCATTGAGTTTTGATGTAGGTGGGGTTGACTTGCATGTACAACGTGCGGTGTCGTATGTTGTGGCCGATTATATTTTCGTGTCATGGGCTATGAGGCACGTTGATGGTAACAGTAGAATTAGGGTGTTAGCAGGGACGATTTATAGGACAAAATGTCGAAATAGGTTGGTATGAGGGGAGATGGGAGAGAGACTTCCCCCTGATATTAAAGCCTTGGAGTTACGAGATTTGAGATAGTTGTGAGTATTCAGTGGGTAATCTAACGGGCTGGTCAGCTGTGTCTAATTGTGTTTGTCAAGTGCATGAATGTTTTGTGTTCTCAGAGTTAATGTGCGTCTCCTATGTAACGGTGATGACGAAATATCTTACGTGCTTTGTATATACAACATTTTAGGATGTTTCTCGTCATTTATGCTTCAATTACAAGTCATTGGTGTACTTTTTGTATATGGTGTGCTTCCTAGCACAGTAGAAACGTTTTTCTTATTTCCGTTTATATTTTATGCCGTGTCCGTGTGCTTTTCATAATATATTTATATATGCAAGTTTTCGTTTTCCTGTAAGCTGTGATGGAGCTTGAACTATATGTGGAGGCAGTATTTTTCAATGTGTGCATCTCGTCAGTGTATAAGTTCACTTATAGCTGCTGGCATTTGAGTTTTATTGAGATGTCAAATATCACAGTGTATTTTTGTTTTTGTTATATTAGATACTTTCATTTTAGTGAATAGTAGCGTCATCCTGATCCACCTTTGAACTGTAATGCCTATTCTTAGTCCATGATAATAACCCCGTGGTAGTCGCCCAAATTAACGTATTGTTGTGCACTTTAAGGCACCTGAGTTCTTAGATTAAGTCTTGGATACGTTGTGTGTTGGCAGGCGGAAGCCAGGCCTAGTAATATGCCAGATGAAGTATCACGTTGTATAATACGTGATTGCTTGTGTTATGTGTGTAATTCTGTGTGCTTGTTTTGTCACATTGTTTATTTGTATAGTGTTTATATTTTCCTGTGTTTTGACTTTATTATTTATTTATATAAGAATCTAGTTAGTGCCTGGTATCTCGTTGACATATTATTTTATGCACCCATAACTATTTTGTACCTGAGTTTTCAATAAAAAAAAAAAAATCTATTGTATAGGGGTTAATTTTGGGAAGAGCATGTACTTGTTTTTAACTGAGATTGTGATGTAGGTCATTACTCTGTTATATACTGTGAAGGTTTGTAACCTTGTCATATGTCAGTCACAGTATGTTAACTATACAAATCTGAAAGGTTTATATATTTTATATTTTATATAGTTTATATAGTTATATTTTATATTGTTTATATTATAGTAGTATGTTATATGGAAAATTTTGTGAGTGTATGTGGGTAACCTCTTTTATGTCAATTACAATGTGTTGTTAAAACTTGTTAGTGTATGTTGTGTAGGATTGAGGATCCTACTGTACCCATTTTATATCTTTATTTAATATTAAGCTGTAAAGTTTTTTTAAATAAAATATATAAAAAAAAAAATTATTAAAGGAAAACATAAATTAACTAAGCATTGCGAGATATATACACCGAGAGATATTTCCCTTAGCCTATATGCTGAAAGTTTGCTTTAAACTCTGTTTTAGGCACATATTAAAATATTTTTGTCTGGTGGTGATAAGGTTACGTGCAGTCTTAATTAATAACTAGTGTAAATAAGCTTAAGCCCCATTAACCAATCAACCTAAAAATCATACAAAAGTATGATATATGTCGGTATCATTTTATTCTACATCACTGTGGTCTGCAATGACTAAAATGCTGTAGCCTTCGCTGTTTTTGTGAAAAAATGCGCACTAATGTGTTAATATTTAAGTTATTCATGCGATGTGATTCAAAGGTAAGCAAAGTTGAGACGCTGGCTGGTCAGTACCAGGGTCACTATTGTTGTAAATGCTGCCTCATATGTTGTAGTTGTAAACCCAAATGTTGCCATTACGGCAGCACCTTAAGACACATCCGGGAAGGCTTGTCTATTGTCAAATAGTTTTTGTAAGACCCACACTTGCCCTTTGTTATGTGTTATTTTCTTTGACATAAATTAAGCCCCTCAAGACTTACATGACTGTAATATCCTCTCAGTGAGAAGCATCACCCAGTGTCAGAACTTCCATGGTTATTTACTTAAGTTCACACTAGAATCGATAGGATTTTCCATATTAAAATTGCTAAATAAAACCCAGTCAGTAAGGCTAAAAAAAAGGACGTCTTTGTTACTTTGTTTCCTTTATATTGTTTATACAAACTTGTGTCATAAATGGAATATTTAAAGAAATACCTACAACAGTTCCCGAAAGATATTTGTGACAGGCTATTCTTACTGGCTAAACCAAAGCTCAATACATAGCCTACACAGCAAGTAATTATAGCCTTTCACCGGATTAAGCCTAATCACGGCTTTCATTTCTCAGAACTTAAAAAAAAAAATTCCCCAAGGTGACTCGAAATGCTTTGAGGGGGCGAGGATCCCTGTGATCTCTTCTTGAGGAGTGAGAGCATAATCTTAATTCTCCTTTACAGTTGAATGTATTATTTTATGTGACGAGTGGATCAATGTGTTGTGAGAGCATTATAGTGTGTGGTGTTTGTTACAGAATGGTGAGTGCATTATAGTGCGCGGCAAGTGTAGTACAGAACATGAGTGTGGTAGGTGTATTACAGTGTGTGCAAGTATGTCAGTGTAAGGGCATGAAAATTGAATTACGTGGTGACCGCTGGACATGCGCTTATAACCCTCGCCAGCGTCTCAGAATGGCCAGGCAGTTGTCTATATCATTTCTGCTGGAGGTGACGACGTCGCATAGCCGCTGCTGGTAGCACAGGTCATCACACCCCACCTCCAGGAGAGGGTCACCTCCGCTCACGTAGTTCCTGAAGACAAGAGTACACGTTTAGCGTCAAGACTACAAAGGAAATGGATCACGGAAAGAGTAGGATCAGAGCCTATGGCAGGTCACTGAACGGGTGGGATTCAAACCTATATCAATCCTAAAAGTAACAGGCTAGTGCGGGATCCGGTCCCACCTATTACGTAAGTTATTTGCAATAGAGTTGATTTCAAGAGTCAAGGGAAGTGTTTCACAGATAATCGGTGGTATTTATGTTTTCTTTGTCAGGAGAAATAGAAACCTCTCTCTCGACTTTACGCTTGGTTATATGTCCTGCTCAGTTCACCGTTTGGTCATTTGCCTTTTCCTCAGTGTATATACACTAGGAGACATATTTCTCTGTATATACATAGATTCACACTTCGTAGTGTATATACACAGATACACACCTCTCGGCATATTTACCCAAATATATACATACATCTCTGTGTATTTACACAGATTCATTCCTTATTCATGAAAAATGTGTGGTGTTGCTACAGTAGCCTATTACTCCTGCGTAAATATAGTGTTGTTACAATAGCCTGTTAACCGTGCAGAAGTGTACAGTGTAACTACGATAACCTGTTAGCCCTGCAGGAATGTGTACAATGTAAATCTGATTTCTGTTTTTTCCAGGTAAGAGAAACGTAGCTATCAGTGGCAAGAAATTACACACTGAACAACATAGCTTTATCTGTAAAATCATGATACCTTCCCTCCCCTCCCCCACAACAGTCGACAAACTCTTAGGAATATATTTACTGTTAGGTAACAGGCTTGTAGATGAATGGTTCAGGTAACAGGCTGAACGTACTATGTAACGGGCAACAAGTACTAGGTAGATAAATTAAGACATGTGCAACACTTGGGTATCTTTAATATTAAGAGACACTAAGTGCTGCACATGTGTCTAATTTATCAACTTGTCGGTTCTCTGAACCATTTGTCTACGTAAGTACTAGGTAACAGGGACAATAAGTAATATGTAACCAAGGAAGCAGTATTAGGTGATTTAACATAAGTTCCTCCTCGCCTAGGATTCTATTCTAGGAGCCTTCGTTTGAGAGCTGAATGTGATACCACTACTCATGAAATACTGTCATCCATATCACCATCTTAACGAGGTGTAAGAAAGGATTGTAGCTTACATCGGTAGGTTCATGCATGAACCTCATCTGTTGGTGCCAGTCTCACCTGTAATAGATATCAAACAAGTGACGGTCCTCCGCCATCCTCTGGGCCAGATCCTGCCAGTCAGCTGGCGTGAGGCTGGTCATACCATACTCCTCCCTGGCGCTGTACAACCATACCATCGTGCAGAACCTGTCTCCTGGGCCTCTGTTAGGTTCATCACGTAGGTCTCGTGGTCCAAGACCAACTACAAGGTGGAAAATTTTGATTATATCAGTGAAAATGCCCAATAAAAACACCCATTCTACTGAATCTCATGTTTACTGCATTCGAGGAGACGGGAGACTTTGCGTTGAGGATAAGCTTTTGATCCGAAGAACTGAAGCTACAGTCAGTTCCTGGGATCATTTCTGATTACCTTCTATTCCCCAGGTGATCCATGAAACCTGTGAGTTCAGCGCTTCCCAATAATAAAATAATAATAATAGTAATAATAATAAGAATAGGCAAGGAAAATGGTGGATGGTGTGAAGTATCTGTAGAAAGAACAAAAATATCTGTGTAGTTAATAAAGAAGAATGTACCAAAGAATCGGAGTCAATAAAGAGGAATGTAGAGGAAAATCATATTACCAACACTACATGGGCAAGAGGCTTGAGCTTTATATATTTCAGTGAGTGAGGAGACTGCAGGTTGGTCGAGTGGAGATGTACTCGAGAGCGATGTGTAGTATGAATATTAAGCAGAAAATTAGGAGCACAGAAACGAGAAGACAGTGTGGAGTTATGAGAGATGTAATGCAGAGCTGGGGAGAGGCTGTTCAAGTGGTTTGAACGTTCAGAGAAGATGGAGCAAAATAGGATGACCGAGAGTGGATAAAGTTGGAGTAAAGGAAGGAAGGGTTGAAGTCATCGAAGGAAAAGTTTAAAATAGGGTGTGAAAGAAGTTTTAATGGTACATCCATCAGGAGTGTGTAACCGCTTTAGACTGGAGTGGAAAGAAGTACCGTTTATCCTTTTAAATGTGATGTGTGGCTAGAGTGTTAACAAGGTAACATATAGGGATTCAGAGAAACCAATTTGGCAGACTTGAGTCCTGGAGGTGGGAGATACAATGCCTGCACTCTGTAGGAGGGGTGAGGAGATTGAAGTTCAGACAGCCATTTGAACTGTGATGTCCACATATTTTTGGGGTAAGTGATATTTTTTCTTTGTCATCCTAACTTGGTGGGAGACGGCCTATATGATAAAAAAATCATTATACAAACACATATGTTAAAAACGAAAACTTAAGGACTCACTCTAGTAGAATTTTGGCGATCACCATCAACATAGTAGATTCTATAGGCAGGGTTAAGGCCGTACCAGGGGGTCTGGCTGGAGCTATGTAAGCCACACCAGCTGGACGATCACCATCATGGAAAACCTCAAACTCATCGTAGTGTGTGTGCCCATAAAACTGTCCTCTTATTGTATTCTCGTACCTGTGACGTGGGAAATGTTATAGCTATCTCAGATACAAATCACGTAGGCAATATGTTTCATGGAGTCATCTTAAGAATTTTACCGAGAAGTTTGCTTCTGTTCTAGTTCTCATACTTACGCTTAAATTTCGGTGCACTCAGTTCAACCCTTAGGAAATGAACATACCCAGATACTGAACACAAACGCTACAACATACCTCACAACGATGCGGTTGAACTCGCGCGACCAGACCCGTTCAGAGTCCACTATCCCAGGAGGAATGTGACCCAGCAGATGAACTCTCTCTCCAGCAGCCTCCGCCTGGTGCGATGATCTTCAAGCCAGGTGAGCTCGTCAGCGGGGTCCTGAGAATCTTCCCACCAACCATCTTACAAGGTGGGAAGTCCAGATTAATTTCCTTCTGAATATTACTTAGCATTATCATCTTGTTATTAGTATACAACACCTATAAACTGAGAATAAGACACGTGCAACACTTGGGTATCTTTATTGACGAAAAGTTCTTAAGTGTTCTTATGAGTGAGAAGGAAAAACAGACAAATGCAGCATAATGTGATCCTTTAATGACTACGTTTCGCCCATACAGTGGCGAAACATTGTCAATAAAGGATCGCATTATACTGTATTTATGTCTATTCTATCACTGTGTCGGTATTTTATACCATTTATCTCCATGTATGAGACGGGTCTAGCATGGACCAGTAGGCCTGCAAGTGGGCCCTGCCTTTTGTCACACTATCTCCAACCTCTGCACCTCACTTCCGGTCCAGTATATATAGCCCCATCCATATTCCTTGACTTCTGGTTGATCAGCACTAACCGGCTGAATACATAAAGCTGAGATACGTCGAAAATGATACAACGAGAGCACTGGTACTACATAAGGTTAGATACGTCTAGGATGGTACAACGAGAGCACTGGTACTAAGATTGGTACAACGAAAGCATTAGTACTTACAGATTGGAGGAGTAACCATACATGCTGTTAAAGGAAATGATCCTAAGATCCTCCTTCAACAAGACAGAGTAGTAGGCGGCCTCCTGACGGTAGAGTTATCGAGGTGTGGCACCAGCAGTGACCACTGCTTTGATAACTCTGAGAACAGCCAGTCAGCACTCAGCTCCTCAGGGGTGTCGTCATCGTCAGGGTCTGGAAACCTGGTGAGCACAGAAAGGGAACATGTCCACCCTTTAATAATAAATAATAATCCTAGCATCCAGGACTATCCTGATGAGATCACAATCCTAGCATAAGGATTCCCCATGATGAAATCCCAATCCTAGTATCAGGAATGCCTAGATGAGATCACAATCCTAGCATTCAGGTCTATCCTGATGGGGTCAGTCCTAGCATCCAGAACTGCCTTGATAGGATCACAATCCTAGATCTATGACTGCCCTAATGAGATCACAATCCTAGCATCAGGACTGCCCTGGTGAGATTACATCCTAACATCCAGAACTAACCCTATGTTATGCCTTTTTTTGGCTGCGTAACTTAAAGTCCTGGCTCGTAAAGGGTAAATGACCTGCCATCTAGGGACATTTATATTATTTAAAATAAAAAAGAAACCACTCCAGGACCAGCTTGTACCTTCACATTGAATGTGGAATGTTAATTAGTCAATATTATTATAAGGACACAAAAGCTCACCTATACAAAAATATATTAATAAAGAAACATAAAAAACCCTACAATCTACCCTACTAAAACCCTCCCCTTTACTCACCACAGTAGTTCACAGACACTGCTACTAGTGTGAGTAAAACAAGATTGTAAACGTTTATGAACAGTGGGCGCCAGACCCCCGTCCCCTTTCTGCGGTCTTTTACCCAGGCAAACACACCATAGAGTCTCCCCCAAAACTTAAACAGCCTTCACACTGGGGCCTTAAGGAAACAGAAGCACTTAAACCCCAAAAAAAATTATTGTAGTATACACTAAAAAAAAAACTCACCCACACACCCCTACATATTGCTCCATCTGCTGTGTTTCACCTCCTGCAAAAAACACCTAAACTCTCCTATCTCCGGCACTGACCAGAAATAATGCGAGTCCGGTTTCGGAATTATCCCGGAACTTTGGAGCATTTATTATACAATATTTTTAACACACTACATAATATCTCTGGAAGAGTGGCAGACTACTAGGGTGGGATAATACTCTAGTTGACCTATATCCATTACTTTTTAAGGCGACATAGAACGGGAAAATGTGACCGGTGCTGTTTAATGATCACATGAAAGAATTCAGACAAAATATGATGGAAAGATCCTTTATTGACATTTCGCCCATACAGTGGGCGAAATGTTGCCAATAAAGCATCCCCACTGAAAATGCATTTTGCTTCTCGTTTTCCATATGTGAAGATTTTGGTCCGTCAGTATCAGTTTATTCCAATAAGATAAATGTAAAATAAATCACATACCATCCTAATATAAATAACATCTCAAATTGGATGTCATTATATGATCTACAGTGGATCGAAACGTCCTCTAGTCTGTGGGTTATAAGGTGAACGCACGTTGCACTGATCAAGACATCGGCTAATTAAACGTTTCGCCATGGAGTTGCTTCTTCAGTCACTCCGGGCGAAACGTTTCCTTACTAAATGTTATGATCAGTGCCCACGTATCTTTACCTTATTAATATGAACATATCAGTGAAATTTGCTTTGATATTAAGTTGGCAAACTGGCTAATAGAAAATGACACATTTTGCCCAAATTTAAAAGTTGAGTGGAACAACCCTTTAATTATAAGTTGTGGATGCATGTGTTACGTAGACATCTTTCATGCGTAGCAAAACTTACTGGTCAAGTGGACTCATCTCGTGGTTGCCTACTACTGGGAACACAGGAATTGTTGGAAAGAACTCTTGAATCATCTGGTTGGTCTCCCTTACAATCTGTAAGTTGGTCTCTGTGGTGGTGGACCAGACGTTGTGCGGGACCACGTCCCCGGTCCACATAACGTAGTCTATGTCCTGTGGGAGGAAGGTAGGATTGGTATCAGGACTCCTAGTGAAGTGGAATGTCATAATTTTTATGTATGGGTGTGGATGCATGGTGGGAGTCCTTGATGTATGGGTGTTGATGTATATGAGGTTTCCTGTATAAACGTTAATATGTATGTATTCGTATATGTGTGTAACTAATATTAATAATCTTATCTGACAAAACCACTTCTACAAGTAAAAAATGTAAAGGGCATCAAGGAGTGTCAATAATCTTTATAAAAAGAAAAAGGAAAATTTGAGGTTCAGCAGACTGAAGGTGCGAGGATGTAGAATGAATTAAAGAAGTATTTAATATATAAGTGAAAGAAAGCTGAATATCCTAGTTTTGAGTGAAATGAATAATTGGATGGAAAACAACTCCGTCAACTGTGTTGAGGCTTCTCTGAAAGGGCTTTCAATTTTCCCTGAGTGAAACCGAGTATTTTGTTGAAGAAAATTTTTTTTGGGTTTAAAATATAATATTTAGATGGTTAGGAAGAAATATGTTATTAAAAGAAAGATTACATAAAGTGTGAAACCTGGGATTTACAGAATAACAAAGAGAGAGACAGGAGTACAGTGACTAAGATGCGGGTGGCAAAAAAGGGGGTAAACAACGGAGATTTAGTGACAGAGTAGATGACATGTAGAGAGATACACATGAGAAGTGGGTGGCAGAGTACATAGTAACAAAGAGAAGAGGGTGACATACGGAGAGTACAGGGGACAGAGTGGTAGATGACATGGAGTACAGAGTGACACAGAAGTGGGTGACACAGTAGTTCAGCTTACCGGGTGGGTGAGCTTGATATGGGTGAGCATGTCTTCCAGCATCCAGCGAGGAGAGCCACAGTATCGGTAATCTCCCCAGAACCACGCCTTGTCCTCCTCCATCTCCGGGACACCTAGGAGATACACTAGAGTGAAAACCAGCACATAGGCATCCAGCAAAGCAAGTGTGAAGGCAGTCTTCACAATGACAACACCCTATCAAGGCTGCCTTAAGCCTTCGCTAGAAACTTGAAAGAAACATGAATCAATGGCAAAAAAATTTTATTTTGATCGAATATGAGAAGTTAGGGAGGAAAATATACTGAACACACACTAGCCCTTTGCGACATCCAGTTGAGAAGAAGTGTATAGTTTCTGCTTCGATATTAGTGGATGAAGAATCAAGCCTCTACATAAGAGTTTCACATCAGCCTCAAGGACCACTAGAAATTTAAAGAAATTATATAACTGATTAAACACTAGGCGGTACACCACCATCATAACTGCTGCTGCTGTAGTTACTAACACCATTATAGCCATACTTCTGTATTATTATTATTATTATTATTATTATTATAATCATAGGGGAGCGCTAAAACCCTAGGATTATACAGCACATGGGGGGGATGGGAGGCATTCAGGCTCAAAGCAGGAAACTGGAGCACAGATACAATTCCTTAGATCAAGGGCCCCTCACCAGCCTCAAGGAACCTCCCTTGAGGGGCCATGCTGCTGTAGCTACCACCACTGTAGACGGTACACCACCCCAATGGAAATAAGTCACTGACTTTTTTGGGTTATCCTAGGTTCTCTACGCATGTGCTGCTATGTATGGTAATCTCTGTAACGGTATTAGTGTATACCTGAATAAACTTGCTTACTAATCCTACGTTTGTTGCTGTAGTTACTACCAATGTAGACGGTACATCATTATAACTTTGCTGATGTAACTGCAAACAGGTAACCACATATTCCTGCCTATCAAGGACACGAACAAGCCAGAAACCGTAAACTTTAGACGATGTTTCGATCCATTCCGAACCATTATTAAAGCAGTAACTCCCTCAGGTGTTACTTGATCATGAACCCGGAGGGATCAAAACATCAATCTCAAGTGTACCCCTCAAAAATGTGGCGTATTAGTGAAAGTTCC